GAATTGTTGAAAAGAAACATAGCTGTAGTAATCGTTGGGTTTCCTGCCACCTCTATAATTGAAGCACGGGCGAGAATCTGTCTCTCAGCATCACACTCGCGGGAAATGTTAGACAGGGTAAGCTAAGGTCTGGTTGCAGGGGCGAGGCTAACTGTACGCACGGTACGCACGTGCATACCAAAAAAATATATAATAATTATTATATAAATTAAATAAGCGAATTGTCTGGAAAAAAGCAAATAGATTAAAAAGCACAACATTTCTTATTTCATTTAATTCTGCTTATTTTTTATGAAATAATATTTTTCTAAAACAAAAGACTTTTCCTTTTTACACCCGAATTTCGGTTTCCGGAGAAGAAACGCGTGATTTATTAGTCGATCGATATATTCAGAAAAAAAGGCGGAAAAGTGTGTACATACAAAGAGCATCAACGTAAGGGGAGAGGGGGCTAGAGGTATTTGGAAAATTGGCGTATCTCTGGAAAATCCTAGTTACGCTCCTGCTTTGTTATAAATTATTTGTAATTGCAGTTGTCTGCATGCCTTAGCCTAAGAGTGTATTCTATAGATGTGATGTCCTGTTGGTTTGTTGAGTTGTCTAAAGATTAACCGGTTGTTTTTTAGGCGCTGAAGGCCATCGATGAAGTGGGTGACATGCTTAAGGTGAAGTATTCACGGAGGACACCTACCACACATCAACGAAGCTGATGTGACAATTCTAGTTTTTTAAATTGGGCGAAGCCGGGTATTGAATTTAATTTAGTGACTAAAAGTTCGTTTTATGTATCTAGAAGGAATAGTGCGTTTTTAATCACGTGACCAGCATCTATGCAAATTTATCGGAGCAAAAGGAAGCAGTTACATAAGAAAAGTCAACACCCACAGGACTGTTTTGGAACACCAACATGGCCGACGTTTCATTGTCTTGGAACACCAATATGGCCGCCGTGACCTCATGTAAAAAGGCTCTATTATTAAAAATACCCAAGGAAAATTGTTGGGTGACGGGGAGGATGGGGTCGATCGCTAATGATAGTTGCGCATGCTCGTGTTCATAGTTATTGGTTCATACTGTAACATGCACAGCAAGCCAATCTCTCTGATAGGCAGTAAACTGACATAAATAGGACTGCTCGTAGAATTTCTTCGCGATTTTGGTAAATGCGACTCAATGTTTCTAGAAGGAATAAATACCCAAGGAAAATTGTTGGGTGGCGGCGACGATTGGGTGGATCGCTAATGATAGTTGCGCTTGCTCGTGTTCATACTTAGAGCCTGTTTACATGGAGGTAAGGGACCCCAGATAGGTGAGGTAACATGAGGTGGGTCACCCCAGCTATCATGTAAACGTGTTCAAATCAGAATGAAAGACTATATGGACAGGCGGGTCACCCCACCTAAGCGGGTTGCCTCACCTACCTGGGGTCCCTCACCTCCATGTCAACAGGCCCTTACTCGTTCACACGATAACATATTCACAGCAAGGAAATCTCTCTGAGGCTATGTTTACACAAAAGCTATCCGCTATAGTTTGAACACTTATCCGATATGTGACTCTCCACTTTAGAGATATTAAATAAAAAAGTGAGCTTTTTCTGGCGACAACACGGTGGAAGTGTTATTTAATGAAGGCCTCCCTGGCCTAGCCTGAGTGAAAACTCAAGGGGAGTCGGGGAGGGGAACCTCTTGTTCTCTTGTCAATGTGTAAAAGTAATATTGAAATTCCTTCCAAAACTGCTTGGTGTGTCTGCATTCGAAAAAGATGAGGTAAAGGGATTCCAAATCCGTTTTGCATAGTGAACATTTATCCTCTTGGATGCAAGCTATTTTGCATAACTTATTATTGGTAAGCAGACGGTTATTACCACCAAGGAGGTGTCTAAAGTGCATAATCTTAAGGGACACAATCCACCTCTCACCCTGAAACATAAGACAGTTAATTGATAGGGTAGAGAAATTTAAGTTGTTAGGAACTTGGCATGGACAGAACCGGGGTGATGCGATGTAAATGAGGTCACATCATCATGCTATAAAGTGCTGGCCACTCTAAGAACGATCAAGAATATGACACCACAAGAGACTAAGAAGTCTCTTGTTCAAAGCCTCGTGCTATCCAAACTTAACCCCGTCACATACCCACTTCCCGCATATCTGCAGAAAAGAGAACAACGCGTTCAGAATGTGGCTGGTGGTTTTGTCTTGAATCGTTTCTGCTCAGAAAGGGACGTCCTTGAGCTTGGCTGGCTACCTACACTAGAAAATACGCAATTAAACATTCTTAGAGGGTGCGAACGGGGTTAACAGTTAACTGATATTTGGCCAAAAAACAGTAGTTAACTGATAATCGGCCAAAAAATTAGTAGTTAACAGATAAATGAAAAGTTAACAGTTAAGTGATATTATTATTCATTTAAAATATTTCTCCGTTTCTGATTGGCTAAAAGCACACGCATGATTCACCATAAACAGCTACTGTTTCTGTTGACCAAATTTGGAAGAATTTTGCGATTAATTTTCAACCGATGACGTCAAAAGTGCAGCACAGTTGGAGGTTAATGCACCGTTAACCGAGAAGACCTGGGGAAGAGGTTGAGTTGTTTTGATTGTGAAAAGAAAAATGGACGAACAGTCGGCGAAATATTTTACGGGTTTCACGACGAACTGTTGTCTAAAAACATAGCAAGAACACAACTCAACGGACAACATCTGCTATTTGGAGTATATTTGCAGACCTGAACAGCCCTTTATCTTCTAAACACGCACTGTCGAGGTGAACTTAACATCGACGAAGGTAAGCATGTTTTAGCTTGTTTTTAAACTAGGAATTATTTTGAATGAATAATAAAGCAATTAATGAATTCGGCTTTCGTAGGATATTTATTTTGAAATCGAGGTGAATAGTGGGTAAATATTCCTAAAGCCACTATTCACCGAGATTGAAAAGAATAATTGTTCTAGTATAAACACACGAAGTGATTTCAACAAAATCAGAGAGGAAACCGTTAAAAAGTACGATTTGATTGACCGATCAAATCACGCGAAAGTTTAAAAATAGATCTTTGCAGAATTTTCAAACGTGGAAATTCCAAGTTTATCACTTCGCAAACAACAGCGTAATGGCTTAAATGGAACCGTTAAAAGTATGAATTGTTTCCTTACCTGAGAAGAAATTTTGAGCTTTGTTATTTTCTGTTGACTCGCCAAGTTTATAGCCAAAAGGGTTTGCTTGTTTCTTCGCATGAAGTGCTACAAAAATGGCTGCTCGGTTGCTCGAGGTAAGACGTTGTCTTCTTGTACCATTCTTTTTCCTTTTAACTTGAAACGTAGAATTTTTGCAAACATTTGCTTTCAAATTTGTTTGTTATAGATAAACTTCCATTTTTGGGCCAAATTTTCTTGTAAGCAAACGCTGAGTTTACGAAACAGCTTCTTCTACGAGAATAAACGGGAGTTGTAAACAATCCATCGAGCACAAAACTTAGCTACAGGAAATGGAAAAAACGCCGTTTTGAATCCTTCCAAGTCTTTTCTTGCTTTAGAAAAAGTGAACCCTCGGATTTATTTGACTTTTAAAAGATCGTTGTCCAAAAAATGGGAAAAACACCGAGCTCACACATTATTCACTCGCTAGGAGGTGAATAAGTGTTGAATAGTCCGAGATAGCGAACCAATCAGATTGCTTAATTCACCAAGATCCCTGAGTGTGTATATACTAAAAAGAATTATGCAGATCTTCAAACCTATGATAGGCAATGTTGCTATTACAAGAACGAATTTCGCCCCCCATCCCCCCCCCCTACCAAAAAAAATATGACTTTATGTGTAATTGGCTGTGTTAGGTTCGAAAGGAATTGTGGTAAAATGTGCGGCCGCCATCTTTTTTCATACGGTGGATTGGAGACGCGTTAGCAGTTGAACGGGGCGGTGTCTGGGCGTGGTCATCAGAAGTGATTGCAGACATAGCAGATCCTGAAGGAGTAAATTAAACAATCCCATGTTGGTTCGGCGATAAATAGTCACGGGCTTATTTGTAGGATTAAGTACTCGAAATGGGAAAGTGAAATCTGGAGAGAGACGTACAGCTGCGAAGCACCACAAATATGGTATCGCTCAACTAATCTGGAGTCTGGTTCAACCAAACCTGTGCATCCTGCTGGCAAAGGAATATTACGTGTAACTGGAATAACAGACTCAGACATAGGAGGTAAGATGTTTAATCGTTAATTGGACCCTCAGTGCTCGCGTGGCTGCTATGAAGGTCGATGGCATACTTTCATGGGAGCTAAGGAGCCACTTTTTGTGAAAATCCCCTCAACAAATCGGACTGCCGGGCATTTAGACAGGGAGAACCGTGCCCGTGAGTCAACCGCTATACTCGAAACCGCGAGTGATTCCGGCTAACCTACTTGCGCTTATGAAACGCCGTTGATTTCCGATTACTCTCCAATTCTAAACAAGGATAGAATATTTTGAGGGGAATTCGTAAAAGAATTGTAAAATTTGGGGAGCCTGCTTTCTAAGACTCAAGCTGTGTAGCTGGAAGCGGCTAGAGGCCTCAGTGAGGCCTTGCAAAATAAGTTTCAAAATGAAAGCGCTGTATCTTCGTTATTGCGTTGGGAAAATAATCGACGACGGAGGCAAGTATGTATTCACTGGGCTTAATAACAGGCTTTCTAACTTTCCAGTCGCCTCTCGGACTGCCGGGTATTTAACCTGTGCGAAAACGTACCCGTTAGTCACGTGCTGTTACTCGCTTGGCGATTGTAAATGAAGATAGAATACTTTCAGACGATTAGAAAAAGGGATTTCGAACAAAATTCAAAAAAAATTCTGACTGCTGGGCATTTAGTTTTTTTAAGACCCTTCCCGGCTTCCGGGCATATAGCCACAGCGATGGAAATAAGTAGAAAGAATTTTTCCGTAATCATGTTCATTATAGTATATTGAAACACTAATATTATGCGCTTCGATACCTGCTCCAGATGCCGTGAAGTGGATTGAGTTTTTTAGTGCTCTAGTCTGCTCCGAGAGGTTTTTACCCAGGCACTTCGGTTTTCCTCTCTCATTAAAAAACCAACACTTTCAAATTCTAATTCGGGCTGAATGCACGGACAGTACACTTTCGAACGAGTTCTTGTACTCCTTGGTGTTCCGAGGATAGGCAAATCATTTTCCTTTCATTTCCATTTTCCAGGGCGGTTTTGCCTTCTACACTTCGACAACCCTCACCATGATCAAGCTTCAACTTTGAAGTTGAGTCTATGTGCGATCTTCCGTAGGGGGCGATGCGTTAATTGCTGGATAGAGGGAATCACTAACTTTTTTTGTATGTAATTAATTACCCTCGCCTGCATGTGAATCACCTTTTGTTGATCCAGCATCATCACTAGAAAAAAAAACCGATGATTAATCAGCCACGTAATTAACCAGCATCGTTTTCCTGATGGCGCGGCGGTCATCACACCCAAACATTGATAAGCGGAACGGGGGTTTAAATCTCGCTCAGGTTAAATACAGTTTTTCAAAATCTCCTCGACAGGCGTCCAGTATTGAGTTTCCAGTAAACTCTCTCTTTGGCAAAAATAGATAGATACGTGTATCAAAGTTCACACAAAACCGCATCCTGATAAAATGCGATTCAAAAGGAGTTGGCTGCGGTTAATTGATTGACGAGATGAAACTTTTTGATTCTTTAATTTTATTTTAGTAAGTAAATCCACCCAAATTTGAATAATTTGGAGTGATTTCAGGAAACAACTTGAACACCATGGATTTCTCGGTGTCACAAAATTACCTGTACGCCAGTTACAGAGTCAAACAGACATACCTTGCATGAAAATGTTTTTCCATGGAAAGGGCAGCTCCAAACCCCACCCAACCGAGTTCTCTGTCCTTACCACCACTCACACAAAAACGCATTAGGATTGAAGCCACTTTATTGTACAAAATAAGAGCAGAAAGTGTATATTATCTTTCGCTATTCTTGAATAATTTTCTTGATAATAATATACATACAAAAATTTCTGGATTCTGATTAGCAGAGAGCATGTCAATTAATCCCAAACAGGGCAAAAACTTGAAATTTTTTGAGTGCAGAAAGAGGAAATTAGTGCAAAAAGTTGAAATTAAGCTGATTTTAACACTCGTTCTTTTTCCTCAGAGGATATTTTTGATCTGTATTCCCCAAAAATTTCAACAAGCCCGCATAGTCATTTTTTTGGACCAATCGAGTTCTTTTAGGCGGAGCGTGTTAACTCCATAAGGCAAAATAAAAACAAACTGTCTGCTGTTTGTCTGAAATTTTTGTACATATATTATTAACAAGTAATCACATGATTTTTCTCGTGCAATCTGGAATGCATAAGCACTTGTAAATTTTTCAAACACCCCAAATTGCACGAGCCCGTTGTTAGTCTTTGAAAAATTTACTCGTGCTTATTTATTCCAAATTGCACTCGAAATCGTGTGATTACCTATACAAATTATAGAAAATAACACAAAGCACAGTTGAGATAACGTGTAGCTACTTTGGATACCAATGTTTAAAGTAACAAATTCAAAAAAATTCAAACAACGTGAACAATACTTTAGTGGTAAAGATTTTATGTTACGAAAGTCAGCATCGATTACTAGTAACTTCATAGTTTACATAATGACCTTGCCCAAAGCCCGGCGCACACTAGAACTAACAGCTGAGCTAAGTGTCACTCGTGACAGTTGGCGGAAGCACGTTCCCCAAGGGTGCGGTGCAGTTTTCAGCGATTTTTGGCACGCGTGCCATCGGAGCCGAATATTCAACATGTTGAATAATTTTGTGCACGAGCGAGGGTTTCCTCCAAGTGTGCGCGCGTGCTAAGCTATCAGCTCAGTGGCTGATGCGAATACGCATGCGTTATTATATTTGTAAATTGAACTTCAAAATGGCAGCATGTTTGAAAGTGGATTAATAACGCATGCGTATTCGCATCGGCCTCTTCTCTCATATTAAATAATATTCCTCAACAAAAATATTTTTCAACACTCTAAGAGAAATTTCGTATATCCGTGCTGCCATGTAATATCCTCTATGACACACACCAGAATATGATTGTTTTTTTGTTTATAGTGTTGACGTGAAAATCTCTTCGCCCAGATCAAAAACGCGACTAAATTGATATGAGAATGTTCTTCCTATGTTTTTCAGATTAGGTTTGGTTGACAAGGGGTAGTATTTGCTTCAGCGTTTTAACTTTCTTCAGTTGGTTCAGGCGATGGCAAATGAAGCAGATCCATCCATTATCTTCGGCCCTCTTGAAAACTTTAAATTGGGTAAATTAAAACTTGGATCGATCCAAACTGGTTACTTTTGACACTTAAGGAAAACGTTGTGGTTAACCGTGGGACAAAATTCAGATCAGGCAAATACAACCGATTGAAGACGGAAAATGATATTTCCTTAAACGAAATACGTCATAGCGTATTATGTCTCGGACACACCCCACACGTCCACAAGTCTTGGATTACATAGCGAGATTCATACTGATAATAGTACAACTACTAGTACTACTAGTACTAGTACTAGTACTACTACTACTACTACTACTACTACTACTACTACTACTACTACTACTACTACTACTACTACTACTACTACTACTACTAATATAATAATAATAATAATAATAATAATAATAATAATAATAATAATAATCACTTTATTTATATTTCAAGCGTATTTAGCCCAGCAGAGAGACGCTTTACATTGGGGAGACAGCGGGCTATAAATACATAGGCGGAAAAACATTTCCGAAATATTGACACAGGACAAAGTCGATTGTAAGTCGATTGCAAAGATGACTATCTGACGCTTTGAGATATTGCGAGTAGAATACGAATAGATTGCATTAAAGTTACATTGTGGAAGAATGATGCCCAAACTCGTCTGGTGCTGTCTGACGACTTCCAACATGATCGAGGTCTTGGTAGAAACTAGTAAGGTGTTGGTGACGACTGTTTGAGACATCTGGTGGGTTGTAATCAAATTCAAACCAATAGACGACCATTTCAACCAATTTGAAGCTGATATGAACGGAATGTCAGTTTTCAAAAAATTGATCAAAGTCGACGCTCATGGTTCTCTTTCTCTCAGTTCAGAAAACGCTTAGGATGGCTGTTCAAATAATGTTAGAGAAAACTATCAATTAATGTTGAAAAACAAAAGTGAATCATCATCATCAAATGTTTAAACTTAGGTTAAAAGTCATATGCCACAATTCCTAGAGTTCATCAAGTTTCAATCAAAGAGATTGACTTTCATCTATCTATGGTTGTTGTTTTTTTACCAGAGGTCCCCTAAAAACTCTAAGGTACAAAGTTAAAGAGAAGTTCATAGCTATTTGTATGAACTAACTTAAATGGTTCTCGTGCCAAATTTTAACAGGGGAGGTCCCTATTGCCAAAAAGAAAAAAAGCTTGCTCTTCACATCCAAGTCTCCAAGTCTCTTTCTCTGTATTCACCATGTAAAAGCATTTATAACGTTATAACACTTAGTAGCTTAATTTTCGTCTTAATCCGGCCCAACCGTTTATGCCAGTGATCTTACTCATACCTTATACCATGAATCAGCATAGCTTAGCCTATATTCTTCCTCAATAATGCAAAGCTTATTGTCCCCTCGTCAGTCGGGACCCCCTGCAGAAGTGGCAAGAACACGGGACGCGTAGCCATTCTCCATCAATCAATGGGATTCCGACTCATTAACCAGAGACCCCTTTATTAACTATTTTGTTTACTGACAATTACCTTCGAATTATAGGAGACTGGCGACTTGGTTCCTGTGTGGATCGTTTTGTTTTTCATATCCCCGCTCATCGATCCATTTAGTAAGGCTGTCGAAATCTTTTTGGCTCATGACACCTTTTCCTTGAAGCTGGTTGAACCATTCTTGTACCATGCTTTGGGAATGTTTTTGAAAACTTTTTTCAAAAACTTTAAGTCTGGTTTTACTTTCTGGGTTATTCTGGAAATTCTTGAAACTCTTGTTATCACTCAATCTGAATCTGGGCATTGCGCCAAGGATGGTCAGTTTAAAGGCACCCACAGCATCGTCGTTGCTTATGGCTGAAGATAAAGCGTTCCTGAAGGCCTGTGATTTGGTACTTGGAAATTCCCGATGTATTTCCTTTGGAACTAAGACAGTCGGAAGCTCATGGCCATGTCTTTCTCTTACATTAGGAATAAGATTGGTTTCGAGAGGAGATGAGTTTGTTCCCACCTCAAGCATAGCTTTAGCTAACTTACTATCCTTGTTCAAGTTTCTTGCGTTCAATATGCTATTGACTGGCGGTTGATGATCTGCATTAATGAATTCTCCAAGACCGGAGTTCTTATCCCCATACTTTCTCCAGTCTTTGTATTTAAATTGTTTTCCAATCTCACTCTTAAGAACCTTTTTGCTTTCTTTGACCTTGTTTTCTGCTGTTTTAAAAGCTCCCTCTGCCATGTACCAGTGTCCCCCTCTGATTGCCTCTGTCCACTCTTTGCGCTTGACAAAAGGCTCCCATTGGCCTGGCTCTTTCAGGAGAGTGTCGGCCTCTAAAGATCGGAGGCGGTCTGCTTCTAAAGCGATCTGTTCTTCACTGGCCTCTGGTTTCATGCCTCGTGCTAAAGCATGAAACAAGCAGCTTTTTCCTTTGCTGACTACACTCACTGTTTTGTTATTGATATGCACATCATAATGACCATCTGGGTATTGTAAACTCTTTGGTTTGTAAATCAGAGTAACAGTTTGATTTGCAGGTTTAGTATCTGGGTTCAGCTCCTGCATTTTTGTAAGCTTGCCACGACTATCCTCCGTGAGGATGACAACTTTAGTGCCAGTACTTTCTGAGAGAACTCTGATATCCAGAATGGTTCCTGCTGTCTTTGGGTTCCTGATCCTTTGCGCATGTGACAGTGACTGTTCGTTTGACTCTCCTGAAAGCATTTTTTTGGCATTCTGATCTTGGGGTATGTGTGCAATGTATCTGTTGTTTTGTCCAGCAGTGAGTTTTGCCACTGTTCGGTCCATCTTTAAGCTAGTAGCAACGTAACGGCCAATAATACCGTTTGCACGGCCTTGCAAGTGAGAAACGAAATGATTTGAGAATTTTTGGCGGAACACTTCTACTAAAGCCTGCGCTAGGAAAGCACTGATAAAGCCATACAGGTCCTGCTTGGATTCTTGGAGCATCTCATTTTCAGAAACAGTCAGCTCCTTTGGCTCCACTTTCTCTTGGAAGAATGTTTCGTTTTTGAACTTGTTCAGTTCTTCATTTAGGTTCGAGAAAAAATCGCTTGACAGGCTCAGCACTGTACTGATGGCATCTGTTGCTAAAGTCCCCATATGAATTGCCTGGATGGCTGTTAAAATGGTATGCGCGTCGCCTTTGGTTTCTGATTTAACACCGCCAATCACTTGTAAGATAGTCGAGTTCAACTTGTTCTGCCAGCTGAGGTCTCGATAGAATGGCTGAAGAGAAGTACTACTTAAATCTCTGAAAATGTTTAGGAGTTTGGTCCTTTCGATTCGATTCTGCAGGAGATCGGCAAGCTGTTGTTTGTCTTCAAGATGTAGGAATATGATGGAATCTATTAATGCAGCCAAGGGATCTTTCTTCAACTTGGATTTCACATCATCAATAACCCTCTTTTTTACTTCATTTTCAATGTTCTTGAGTATGTCCTCAAGGATTGCCTCTTCCACCTTCCCAAATGCGTGCATAGCAATTTCTTTAACCATTGCTTTGGCTGTATATTTTAATGTATTCTTTAAATTTGCCTTCGCAACAACACTAAAACCTTCTTTAGCTTGTCTAGATAAAAACTTTGGCATGGCCTTCAGTTTTTTTCCAAATTCCTTTATCAGCATTTTAGAAGCTTTGAAGCCCTTTGAAATCAGCTTTCCAACTCCAAGTGTAATAAGAGACACACCGATAGAAATTGCTTTTTGTATAGCCCACGATTCCCAACTGAATTGCCCTGTAGCCATTCCATAAATGCCGTCGATGCAGTCTGATATTCCTTCAGTGATCAGCCCCATGCCAACTTGAGCAAATACTCCACCTGTAAACGCAATAAGCAGTGCTCCTCCAACAATTTGCAGAATTCCGAGAAAGAAAACTGCCAGAGCACCCCATGAGAAATAAGGCTTTTCTTCCACGCAGAACACATAGTTTAGACCTCGACTGTATAGGTTGTATGCCTCCAATTGTGCATCTTCATCATGGCTAGAAACCAAGGAGACCATGGGTGATTTATTTGCTATTGCATCTCTCCCTCGCTCTCTGATCTCGTCCAACTTTTTGATAGCCTTGCTGATGTTTTCATCAAAGTAATTGAGTATGGCACTCTTGGTGGTTAACTGTTTTTCAATGCTGGTTGGATTGCTGCTGTCTGAGCCACTAGAAGCCATTTTCACTAAATGTAGGCCTATGATGCATTCCTCTTTGAAATACTTGAGGGACTCTTGTGTTTTAATGAGATCCTCTCTGGCTTTGATGAGATAATCTCCCCTTTTCTGTTTTATAATGCAGTAAGCATGATTGTAAAATGCTATTGCTGCCCAATTCTCATCCTGCCCCATTGCTTTTTCAAAAAGCCTGGCGCTTTTATCCCACTGTTTTTCATCTAGAGCAATATTCCCAAACTCGGTGTAGTGGTAAATACTAGAACATGGCGAGGTTTGACTTTCAGACATTCCTTTTGCAAGAATCAAGTCAGATTTCAAGCTCCTTTGCAATTCATTTCTTTTCAACTGTTCAATTTCTTCTGATTTTGTCTGCAACCACATGCCCCAGAATTCATTCATGATGGCGACAAGAGCTCTTTCTTCATCTCCATCTGTATCCCTGTATATTTCTTGAAGGGTGTCACAGTACTCTGAAAACAGGTCCTCCCTCAGCCTCATCTCTATGACCTCCTGCATCACGTCATTTATCTTGTCGGCTGCAATCTTGTCTCTTGTCATTTTTGCCTCTTCTAGAGAGGAGACCGCCCCGAATGTTTCCTGTAGATGACTGGTGCACATGATTATCTGAGCAGATCCAGGTTTGCCTTTGCGTGCAGTTCGGCCAAAGGCCTGGAGTTCCACTCTTGTGTTCTGAGAAAGGAAAGAGAGAATCACTTGCAATCCTCCATTGCTGTTCACGTCTGGGGAAACTTTTATGTTTGTTCCTCGCCCTGCGAGGTTTGTTGCAACAATGACATCACCAGGAAGCAGTTCCTTATTTATTTTGTTCAAACCGTCTTTGTCACTCCGGCAATACAGTTTAATGTCCCTGGGGCCGATGGTTTTCAGATCTTCAGAGATCTCTTTGGCCATGTTAATAGTTTCACAGATCACCAGGACTGCTCTTCCACCTCTGTAGGAATTTGGGGAAATTTGAGTCTTGACAACATCTTTTATTTTAGATTTCCATTCTTGAACTGAAGTCTTCACAGACCCTTCGACCTCGAACAATTTTCTTCTGTTAAAGGTTGGCATTCTGAGGGTGGAGAGATTTTGATAAAAATTCTGCAAAAATTCAATATCTGTGTCATTTCCAAGTGTTCCTGTCGTTCCAAATATCTTGCCATGGTACATCTGAAAAAGAGACATGTTGGAAAGGTAGTTTGTCACCGTTGAAATGGTGCTAAGTTTGACTTGGTGTTTCATCTCGACAAACTGTTGAAGACCATCTCCCCACTTCTTACTCAGTTCAACTATACCAGTAGATTTGAAGTCCACAGGAATGACTCTGTCATTTTCAACGACATACTCCCGTCCTTGCCTCAATCTCATTGCCAGAAATGCATTCTGAACCCACACTGAAATCCTCGTCTCGATCAGATTTCTCAGGAATCCAGGAACGCTGATTCTGTCTGTATTGTGGTTTGTACTTGGAGTGTACTGAATCTTGACTGAGATCAATTCTGCAATGGCATTGCTGACAATTTCCTCGGAATCATAGAGAGAGCAACACAAGCCTCCATCCAGAACAAGAAACTTAAGCTCCGGAATGTTAGGCTCGCATGTACTGGTCTTTGACAGACGGAGCAATCCATTGTCATCTAAAGTGTATACAGTAAAGCCATAAGGAACATAGTGTTCCATTTCCTGAAAAAACCTTAGCGCTGCATCCTGACTCACGGTTTTCAGATCCTCAAGAATTTCATCTTTTCCTTTTTGGAAGATATTTTTGGTAAATCCTCCTGGAACAATCTCTAATACCTCAGCAATTCGCAAAATGTCTGTGGGGTCATCTATTTCATTTTCGTCTGAGTCAATTGAGTCAAAAATTGCCTTGTAGAATGATGCGGGAGGGCCCTGTATGAATGTCTCACAGCCAGTTGACAGGATACCATATTGGCTGACATGACCCCATATCATGGCTAGAACAATGTTCAGGTGCTGCATGGAGACCATGGGGCTTGACAGGTATGTATGTTGCACTCCCTGATCCAGCAGCAGTGAGTCAACTTCATCGATTATGACGCACTGGTAATCGCGATCAGGTCTCACATCCTTCATTTCAAATATCTGGCGAAGGTGGTCTGCAGCGAAGGCTTCGACTGTACCATAGACCACGTCCTTCTGGTAGCATTGCTTTCTATCTTCATCTTTGGTTTTATTTACGTTTGTGTCAACTGTAATGCCAAAGTAGGAGTAGAAGTTGCCCCATTCTTTAGCATCTCTTTCACATAACACAGAAGAGCTCGAAATCACATCTACTTTTTCTCCCCTTAACGCACGAAGCACTGCAAACATGGCTATGACACAAGACTTCCCTTCTCCAGTGCTCATCTCCAGGAGCTTGCCAGTCTTAGACAAGGCCAAGAGGGACCAGCTTGTCATTTGAGTAACTCTGGGCCACCACTTCTTTTCAGCTGCGCACACGTGAACTGCATTGCATAACACCGCCAGGATTTCCTGCAGGTCCTCTTTGGCTGTGCTCTGACTCAGTTTCCTAGCTCGCTGAAAATCGTTATGGTGTGTAATTTCACCTGACTTAATCATGTCGTTAACAGCCTTTACTACAGAGTATGATTTGCCCAATGTTTCTTCATCAATGTTGTTATTATGCCGTATTTCCTCAAAGACACAGTCAATGCTTTTGTCCTTCTCATTTTTAAAGCTGTTTTCCAAGTGTTGGATCAGTTTCGCAGTTTCAAATGTTTTTAAGAGCTGAAGGAGAGACTGGTTCCTCTCATCCATCCAAAGTGAGGTCACCTGATATGTTTCTATGAAATGTAAGATCTTCAAGATGGAAATGCACTCTTCATTGTAATGGTGATCACTCAGTGCTTCAAGGAGAATGAGGGACTCTTTTGGCGACCAAAGTCGTTGTGCAGCAAGATTTGAAACCATCTGAAAGACGTCTTTGGTTTGTTGTTTTGCGAATTTCTTTGCAGAAAAACATAATGAATTTAAACACCATTTTCCTTCAGGAGCTTTTGCTGTATCTTCGGTAAACACTCTTGTTAGATCCTCAAGGATCGTCAAAAAATAGATCTCGCTGGAAGACAGTTTCCTTTCATTTAGTTTTAGTAAGATGGAGATGATTTTATTGCCAGTGTTTGTGTCCTCTTTAAGGTGGGTGTGGAGGACTACAAGAAACGCTTTAATGAAATCCTGTCTCAGTTCCATATTCTCATTGTTAAGATTACCCATAAGGCTTTGCAGGATATCTGCAGCAAACGAGAGGGCATTACTTTCCTTGAGCCTTTTAAATTCCAGCGTATGGGAAGAACTAAGACTGCTCGTCTCAACGATAAACCCTCGGCTAAGATGAGGTTTTCCTGTTTCCATCACCTCTAACCCATACTGCAAGTAATCCGACATGAAGTCGTCCATGGTACCACACACAATATCTGCTTTATAGACATCATTTCTCTCTGATGCACTAAACTTGTTAATGTTTGTGCTGAAAGAAATTCCCAGGTGCTGATAGAAATCAGACCAATTCTTAGTTTTTTCGAGGGAGAGAAGGTCAGAGCTTAGTACAAGATCCACTTTATTTCTCAAGAAGACTTGCGTGGCTGCAAACATTGCGGTGACACAGGGGTCCTCCTCCATCACAAGCTTCAGATCACCACTCGTCTCAGTCAGCACCAACATACACCATCTCATCATCTGCTGCACTGTGGGCCACCAGCCTTTCGTTTTAAAAACAGCTTTGCAGAGCTTACGAAGAGACTTTTCGATGTTTTTCAAGGGACCTTTGCTAAATGATTCTTGGTTTCGGTTCGTTTCTAAATGGTGTAGGGCAGAAGTGGTAATTCTTTTTATTTTCTTCAGAAATGATCTTTGTTTGGTCTTATTTTTCAAATATTTTCGGACTGAACTGATAATTGTTCTTATCTTATCAATGGTTGCATCATCCAAATTTCTGGCTTCTTTCAATTCTGCAAGGGCTGAATTTAGTTCGGTGTCATCCGTCTTTTGGAGAGTACTTCGTAAATCCGTTTGGAACGTCTTTGGATCCAGGACATCGAGAACCTGTATGAGAGAGTTCCCAGAATCGTCTGTCCACTCTGGTGATATGTCGTACTCGTATACCATTTTGAGAATTTCTGTAAGTGGCGTATCCCCTGAATATTTCTCTGAAAGCGCTTTAAGCAGAGTCATCGCCTCTGCTGGGGTCCACTGATTTGTTTGTACAAGTCTGAGAACCATTTCGGTGGCTTCACTGTGGCTTTTCGTGCTGTTCAGATTTGTGAGTATGTCAAGAAGAAGGATCAAACACTGGATTTCCATCCTTAAAATGAACACGGAAGTGTCTTTAATCACATTTGCTAGCGATGATATGAGGACGCCGAGGAATTCTATTAGAAGCAGATCCTCACTGGAGAGATCAACGTCAGCCCATCGCTTGGCTATGAGAACTGGATCAGTACCACTGCTGTAAGGGCCGGTGAACACATGCATCAGGTTCAGAAAAAGAGCTTGGGTCAGCAGAAAATTCTCCGAAACATTACATGCTGATTGGCTGATGGACTCAACCAGAGACTGCACATGATTTGAAGTGCTTTCCAGTGAAAAACGTTCAGGTTTCTCGTTGGAGAGGACGTAAAGCTCGGCGATGAACACTTGAGTGTGCTGCAGGGTGCTGAGAGATGGAGGCGCACTCATCCATTCATCAAACAGAAGTTTTTCCAGGGCTAACAGGGTGTTTCCCAGCTGATTTTTGTTCAGTTGAGTGAGATTCAGGGTTGCGACGGTACATTTTGACGAGAGAGTTTTAAGAAGCTCACTTTCCTCATCTGATTTGTAGTTTGACTGAACTTCACTTAAGTAGGCTGATGCTTGGAACTGGTGCTTCTCCGAAACGATGCGGCTTACTTGTTCCTCTAGTTGCTCTTGAGCTTGCTTGCATGACTCTTCAAGTCTTTGATTTAATTCTTCTCGCCTTTTCCTTTCCTCAGCCTCTCTTGCTCTTTGCTGGTCTCTCCTCTTTTGCTCCTCTTCCTCTTCCTGTTTCTTCTTCTCTTTCTTTTTTTGTTCCTGTTTGAGTCTCTCCTCTTCTCTGATGGGCTTGTAAAAGCAATCTCGACACTCGTATAACTCATTGTAGCCAACTAGCCTGAAATATTCTCCTCCATTGAAAACGTGCACATTTCGCCCGTAGATATAGTCCTGCTTTAAATCTGAAAAGTCATTGCATGGTCGGAGGACCATGTTACACTTGTAGCATCTCAGGTGGTTGCCCATGTTACTTTCTTTTGGTTGATTGTTCCCCATCTTTATTGAATGCTTGCTCTGAAAGATGAGACAAGTAATTGATGAAACCTTTAGTGGTGTTAGCCCATACGAAAATATACTTAACCAATACAACGTACCAACATAACCTTTCTTCTCCCATTTTAACCGATTGTATCACAACTTAAAGGGGTCTGTTATACTCTGGCGGTTTAAGCTAGTTTTGAAGGTCGGTTTACCGTTGCAGTCGTGTTTGGTTGTTCGGTGGCTTACGGTCAAGGAATTGTTGCGCTATGAAAGAGAAAGCGATAGCGGTTATCGGTATAAGAAAAATACGATGAGGCGATTTGCGGATTATTGCGCGACCCCCAGTAGGCCCTCAGTTAACAACAATGCCACGAAAATCAGTTTCAAACTATAAACGGGTTATAGCTATGCCTAAGTGCCGACAAGAAAACAGAAAACAGTACTTTTGAGATGTTGTGTAAGGAGTGAACATCAACAAGCTTCGATGAGAAGCACCGACTAAACACACCAAGTTTATTACATGTAGATCTTAATAGATGTACAGATAAATAAAAGTGAAAGAAATTATAGACCTGTTGCGAAGCTTCTGATTTGGCATTTATCATATGCATAAAATCCCCTAAAAACAATGTCAACTTCATGGCTCTTTGTATTGGTAGTTTTTACACTGGGACTACATTTCTCTAATGCGTAACACACGTGCAGTCAGCAGTCCCGATGTTTTGGTCCAAGCATTCTTGAATATTTCGAAACAGCCTTTTTAAATTTCTGAGGAACTTTTCAAAACAGTGTTCAAAATTCGAAAATCCTTTCCGGGACTGTCGGAGAAATGTCTTTTAAAATTTCGGCCGACTTTTCTCTAACAGCTCCAATAGACCCTCAGTTGACTGTAACAATGCAAGGAAAACGAGTTTCAAACTACACATGATTGTCTTGTTTATTTAAACAATACCATTTGTGTTATGACACATAATGCAGTCAAACCATGTCCCGTTTTTATTGCTAATTTTTTATCGTGATACTCCCTCGATACACTCAGAGCTCGACCGAATTCATATGAAACTTTACGCACGCTCAGTCGTGCATGGCTTCTATGAATAGAGGGACTGAGTTCTTTTTACGCAACCCTCTGTGCTAACATCCGCATCAGTAAAGAACGCTCTTTCAGTCACGTGATGAGACGGCCATGTTGGTGCACAAAACAATAACAAATTATGGCTCGTATTTTGCATAATAATAGAGTCAAATTCCCAAAAGACTTTTTCTCTATTGTTCTGTGCACCAACATGGCCGCGATGACGTCAAGTGAAAACCACCTATAGTTAAAACAAAAATTTAAGATGGTCGTCTGGAAATTAAAGTGCATCAGCCTTTCCTCTTAAGGATGAGCTGTGGAGTCATAACAAATTTCTAGTTTCTAAAGAAACTGTGGTGCTGCGTCGGTGTGAGAGTAAAACATGAACGTTTGGTTTTATCAAACGAGTTGATAAAGGTTCAATTACTCCGCCATTACCACCGTGAAGGATTTGAAAGCTGACGTTTCGAGCGTTAGCCCTTCAAATCCTTTACTGTGGTTATTCGACTCGTTTGACAAAATCATATTTTCATCTGGATATTCATTATTCATTTCATTATTCATTTCATTATAGAAATTTCTTTCTGTGGCATATCTCGTGCTATAATTATGGTCATCACTCGCATACTAAAAGTAGCTGTCGAAGATGTTTGGTAATTCCTTGTTATGCCAGCGAGGTGCAAATTTGAGGGCTTGTAATTTAAAAATAGACGTAACTGATAATATTCATAAGCGGAACGGCGCTTTCTGTGTTTCTCCCATGAGTAATAGCAAAAAAATTAATCTTATTACTGTGTTCTGTTTTATTTGTACATGCGTTTTATGGGTACTCCCACATGCAAGAATGGCATAAGTTATGTAGGGATAGACAAGAGAGTAATACAGTTGTTTTAACAGGCCTAGAGCTAGAGACATGCAAAGCCTTAATTTACTAAATATTCCAATATTCTGGGCAATTATTGAAGAGACATATGCAATATGATACTTCCATGAGAGCTTTTCGTCAATTAAGACGCCTAGGTATTTAATATAATCCTTTTTTTCAAGAAAAATACTATTTCCATCTTTATTTGTAAAATTTAATATTTATGTTTCCTCCCCTCTTTTGGGAGGATTTAACGATCATTTAATTAGTTTTCTTAACATTTATAGATAGCTTGTTTAGATCGCACCATTGTTTGATTTTAGCAAGCTCTTCGTTAAATAACTGTTTAAGATATCGAATAATAGGCGATGAAGCAAAAACATTGGTGTCGTCCGCAAATATTCTAAACATCAATTTATCAGAGCAGTTAGAAACGTTATTTATATAGAGTAAGAACAAGAGAGGACCAAGAGAACTACCCTGTGGTATACCACATTCATTATTTGCTTTGACGATTCCGCATTATTGAAGGAAATATATTGTTGCCAAAGATATTCGCAAGCGAGGGTCACTTATGCAAGACAAAATAGTCACGCCTCAAGCATCATCTCTATATGCTTCGTTCTTTAATCGTGGCAACCAAATACAAAAAAGAAGGTATTTACAGGCACAAGTGACTTACCAGATAAAAGCAAGACCGCGTCGCTACAAAATATCTCGATATGCTTCATTCTTTTATGGTGGCATCCCACTGTTGCTTTTCCGAAATGATCTCACATTGTTTGAGGACGATATGACACCGTTTTATCACTAATGATTTAAGCCCTGTTTTTACCAATTTACAGACCGTTTGCACATTTCTTACGGCCTGTAGCACTATTAAATAAGTTTAAGGAACGAGTACGGCCCGTGCGGACGAATACCGGTCAACTCACCTACGTGCAAACTCGCTTTATAGTATATCATGCAATCTCGCCCGCGCCTTGGACAACTCGCCTACGTAGGGCGAGTTGGTCAACCACAGTTAGCGAGTTGACTGGATAACGAAAGGACAGTACTGCCCCTGACAACTAACAGCAGACTACTGTAAGTTCCCTTAAGGAGATGCAAGATACAGACTGTCTTTAACTTGATCACACTGGCACACTGAAATTGTAACTACCGACCGTCGTCAGTTTATTTTGTTCTATTTGTTTTATTTTCCCCTTTTTATTTGTATTTTATTTGCATCTCTGCGTTTTGGTTCGCACTTCCGGTCACATGATAGTCATGTGACCGGAGAGCACATGGTAGAGCTAGGCGCCATTTTTTTTTTTGTTGTTGTTTTTTCTGCAAGAGCAAACAGTTCTTCAACGTACAAGGACACGTACACGTACACTGTATATTTAAAGTGACATTTTTGGTGCAAGTACAGGAAGCAGTATTCAGGGAATAAAATGCTTTAATCAGGGTTCAATTTGTGGAACTCACAGTTGAAGAACTGTTCGCCGAATCGATTGATGTTTTTGTTCTTAGGGAGAACACAGCTTCGACGAGTTTGAGTTTCATTGATCGGATTTGGAACTTGCTTTCAAGGAAAGCACGGCATCAAGTAAGGATTTGTCTGTTATTTGTCGCATTTGCATTTGGAATTTGTTCTCAGGGAGAACATTTATTTGACAAGAATTTGTTGTGATTTTTCGCATTTGGAACTTTGTCGCGTTCATTGGAATCGTGTCACATCTACGGATGATTCAAGCTTACGTCTAGTTCAGTTCTTCGCGGGGAACGATATTCTAACAGGGATTGGTTCTTATTTACGTCTGGATTTGTTGCTCATTCAAGTGTGTGGGAACGTTTTGGATCGTTTTGTTCTCAGGGAGAACATTTATTTGACAAGAATTTGTGGTGATTTGTCGCATTTGGAACTTTGTCGCGTTCATTGGAATTGTGTCCACGTCTACGGATGATTCAAGCCTACGTCTAGTTCAGTTCTTCGCGGAGAACGATATTCTAACAGAGATTGGTCTTATTTACGTGTGGATCTGTTGCTCATTCAGTTGTTTGGGAACGTTTTGGATCGTTTTGTTCTCGGGGAGAACATTGGTTTATGCGTACGATTTTCGTGTTATTTGACACTGCATCACGCTCGTTGCTTTGCGAGAATTGTTTTACATGTACAACCTTTGAGATTTGTGTGGGACGTTTATATTATTTATTTGCTATCAGAGAAAATAGAGGATTTCTAAGGTATGTGACAATAGCCATCTTGTTTGTGTTTGGAGTTTATTGTTTGTGGCCAATAGTACAGTGGAGCAAAATGTCTGTTCGATCAGTGCCTGTTGCTGACAAACTTGAACAACAAAATGTCCAGGAAACTCTGTCAGAGGGCAGACTTGGAACCGAATTAAGAAGAAGTTCCCGAGTTAAAGTACCATCTAATATAGATTTTGAAAGTAGAACAGCTGAGAGGGCAAACACATTGAAATATTCCTGTGCAGGTTATGTTGCAACCCTCACAAGACTACGAGGGAACATTCAAGGCATAATTGACAACTGTGGAACTTTGGAGGACTTACAATTAAAGCGAGATTCGTATGAAGAAGCTTGGAGGAGATTCGTGAACACCCATGAAGAGTACATTGAATGTCTTGATGTTCTTAGTCGTTGTGAAGACGTTGAAAGGGCTGACGCTAACTACAAAGAGCAGATGTCAAAGAAAGCAACATTTGACAATGAAATTGAAACATGGAAATTCCAAGTCACATCTAGTATTAAGAAACGAGAGAATGACTTAAAATCCTATCCAAGAAAGTCAAGGAAGAGTACGAAAAGCGGGTCAACTGGCTCAAGTTCAGCTTCATTAGCAGTGGCGAAGAAAAAGGAAAAACTTGCCCTAGCCCAACTGAAGACCAAGCAAGTGCTGCAGGAACAACAGTTACAACGCAAATTAAGTGAGCTTCAATTTGAGAAGGACATGTTGGAGGCTAAGATGGAGGAAGAGCGGGCTAAAGCGAGTCTTAATGTGTATGAAGAGTTTGAGAATCAATGCAGGAAGAGTCAGTATAGGGAGCGTTTAGCAGAGTTTATACCTGAGAAACCTTACATCCACATTGGAATCAGTCTCAGAATGTGGCTCAGTCGCAGCTAATCGAGCCACACGAACAACTAGTACAAGAGCTTGCACCTCTGGAGCAGGTGCCTGCATTAAGAGACAATGAGAGAATCATGAATTCACCTGCTAAGACATTTCAATCAGCAAGCGTTACAGTGCCCAACCCAGTGTTCTCAGGAACCGAGCATACAGTTTATGTTGATGAAGCTGGAACAGGTAAACATACAGAGCAACTGAATAACGCAAAGGACACTGAAGCATTGAGAAATCCACCTGTAAATCCATCAGTGCCAAATTTATCACAACAAGTACAGACACCATTGACAACCCACTTTAACACCAAAGAGTACTCACAATGGTCAACTCAGGTACCCTGGTCCCAGACCCCTGGTGCAGTCCCAGCAGAATGTTATATGCGAGAACCAGTGTCGGTGACACCAGATAGCAGAGCAGAGATAGTACAAGCACTGCGTATGAGATTCGATGGAGACCCTATGAAGTATGTCTCGTTCATGCACAATTTTAAAACCTGCTTAGAGAAAGATAACCCCGACAACTCCAGGAGATTACAGCTATAAATCCAACACTGTTATGGCAAGGCAAGGGATGCCATTGAAAGTTGTGTGAATCTACCGGTAGACGAGGGATATTATGTAGCAAAGAGTACCTTACGCAAAAACTTTGGACTACCTCACATCATAGCCAAAGCACATATCAAGAAGTTGGAAGACCTACCTCCTTTGAAGCAGGCGGATGGAGCAAGTTTACTTGAATTTGCCCGCCATTTAGATGTTGCCAATAGAACACTGTCAGGCATGGGGCCTGAATACGTCAGTGATTTGAACCACACGAATACGTTAAGGGAACTGAACAAGAAGCTGCCACTGTTTATGAGGGTCAAGTGGACAGAATGTGCAGGAAGGATTATTTCATTTGGAGCGAAACCTAAGTTTGCAGACTTCCTTAAACACTTAAAGGACAGAGCTGCGCTTGTTAATAATGAGTTTGGAGAGGATCTTAATGCTGCTCCTTCGAAGGAAAGGGAGAATGTGAATCGGAGAGACCAACGAGGTCGAAATCCTCGAAGACTCATGTCACTATTTGGAGGTGTCCGAGGTCGACAGGGAAATGGGGACAGAACCAAACAATGCCTGCTTGTACCGTTTGTCGTGGTCAACATGGATTGTGGAGGTGTGATAAGTTTAAGAAGCAATCTCATCAAGACAGATGGAAAGTAGTACATGAACAAAGCCTTTGTATCAAGTGTCTCCAGAGCGGTCATTTTGCAAGAAACTGCCCCAAAACTCAGTTCAAATGTCAAGTGGATGGATGTAAGAACGAACACAACACACTGCTAAACCCCCCTCCAGCAGATTCAACCCCACCAAGTGTTAATCCAAGCCAGCTTAATCAGGAAGAAACAAGGGCGAACACCAACAGTGAAACCAGTGGAGTAACTAGCGAAGGTGCTGCCGTAACTGCTGCAACTGGGGCCGCGAGCGAGTCTGTCTTAGTGTTGTTCCAGTCAAGGTCCTAGCCAAAGGTAGCAATTTGATACCTGTTGAAACATATGCGTTGTTGGCCAGTGGCTCAGAAGTGACTATTTGCCATGAAAAGTTGAAGGAGACTTTGGGTGCAAGTGGCACGAGGCTGGACTTCACTTTAGCAGGGATGACAGGTTCAACCAGAGTGGAAAGTCAACAAGTAGATCTTGTGGTGATGTCAATGGATGAATCAGTGACGGTGGAGCATTCAAGCGTCAGGACAGTCAAGCATATGCCTATAACCGAGGGCTGTATAGCCGAGAAGGAGGACCTTGAAAATTGACCTCATTTGCGTGATATTGAGTTACGACAGTTGGACATCACAAGTGTCATGTTAATTGTTGGTCTTAAAGACAACCCAAGCTTGTTCTTGCCGTTGGAATGCCCAGCTGGTGGCAAAGGAGAACCAGTAGCAATTAGGTACAGCCTGGGATGGACGGTGATAGGTCCTGTTGGTGGAGAAAGCTGTACCGCCGAACGCTCAGTCAACTATCTACATATGGAAGATAGCTCTGTTTGTGCGCAGGTGGTTTAGATTTTGAAGATTATGTTCTTTGCAAAGACCACAAGAAGAGTGTTGTGTTGTCTACAGGGTTAAACAGCGAAGATGCTTATGAAGAAAATGTTGCAGACATGAACTGTGTCCTCGAACTAGAATGTAATGCCAATGAACCCAAGCATCGTTTACAGATAGATGAAATTTATCATCAAGCTCGGGACGATGAGCTTAGTCAACAGTTGGAGCGACTGTGGAGAACAGATTTTGAAAACTGTGAAGTCGAGACGCGAGTTTGTGCATCGTTGGAAGACAAAAGGGCCCTAGAAATAATGGAGAGAACTCTTAAGATGGTAGATGGACACTTTCAGGTTGCCCTGCCTTGGCGACATGAGCCACCATTTTTACCTAACAACAGGGTAGTTGCAGAGCGAAGAGGTTTGCTTCTAAAGAAACGACTCCTGAAAGACGAAGCCTTGTTGGAGAAATACAAGACAACAATGGCTGATTACATTGAAAGTGGCCACGCTGAAAAGGTCCCCAATGAAGAGTTAGAGGTAAAGGACAGACCGGTGTGGTACCTACCTCATCATCCCGTAACTCACCCTTTAAAGCCCGGCAAAGTGAGAGTCGTCTATGATTGTGCTGCCAAGTACGGAGGGACGTCATTGAATCAACAACTTTTACAAGGACCTGATCGAACAAATCAATTAGTGGGTGTCCTTAGTCGGTTTAGACAAGAGCCCGTTGGAGTGGTAGCTGACATTGAAGCGATGTTCCATCAGGTGTTGGTGGAACCTAAGGACTGTGATGCACTTAGATTTTTGTGGTGGCCCAATGGAGACTTGTCTCGAGAATTGGAAGAATATAGAATGGTGAAGCACCTATTTGGAGCCACATCTTCCCCGAGTATTGCTAATTTCTGTTTGAAAAAAACCGCCGAGTTACATGGAGAAGGGTTCGAGGAACAGACAGTGGAAACGGTGAAGCGTAACATGTATGTGGACGACATGATGAAGTCAACAAACACTACCGAGAAGGCAGTTGTGCTGGTGAGTCAACTCCAGGAGCTACTAACAAGAGGTGGTTTCCATTTGACAAAGTGGTATAGCAATGACAAAGATGTGCTAGCAGCGATTCCAGAATCTGAAAGGGCTAAGTCATTTGCAAACTTGGACTTAGAGAAATTGCCGACCGAATCTGCTCTAGGTCTCAAATGGAACACAGAGGAAGACAAATTTGTGTGGGAGGTCTTGGAGAAGATCCTTCAAGTTGCTAATCAGCGGCCAATGACACGCAGAGGAATAGTGTCAGCTGTTTATTCTCTCTTTGATCCCCTGGGTTTCATTGCACCATACATCGTGAAAGCCAAACTGTTGTTGCAAGCCCTTAGTAGAAAAAACATTGGTTGGGATGATCTCATTGGGGAGGCTGAGAAAATCCAGTGGAGGCGATGGCTGGATGATCTTCCCAAGTTACAGGAAGTGCAAGTAGATCGTTGCTTCAGACCCAGAGAGTTTGGCGAAGTAAGAGAAGTACAGTTACACCTTTTCTCAGACGCATCTCGTCAAGGATACACATCGGTTGCATACCTCCGTGTGAAGGACGAGAACAGTCGAATTCATTGTGCATTCGTAATGGGAAACGCAAGGTTAGCCCCAGTGCGCGAGATTTCATTTCCAAGGTTGGAATTGACAGCTGCAGTCATCTCCGTGAAACTCTCTAAGATTATCCGTGAAGAATTGGATATGAACTTCCAGAAAGTGTTCTACTGGACCGATTCAATGTCGGTGTTGAAGTGTATCAACAACGAATCAAAAAGATTCCACACGTTCGAATCCAATCGTTTGACGGTGATACATAATGGATCTTCCCACTCCGAGTGGCATTATGTAAACAGAGATAATAATCCTGCAGATGATGGCTCAAAGGGACTTAAATTGGATGACATGTTAAAAAATGATCGTTGGTTGAGAGGTCCGGAGTTTCTTTCGGGAAATGAGAGCCTCTGGCCAAAGATGGTTGAAATTCCAGCATTGAAAGATGACGACCCTGATGTCAGGAAGGAGACTCAGATTTACACCGTTGTTGTTCAAAGTAAATTCCTGGAGCCCTTAATAGCACGCTACTCGTCTTGGTGGAAGTTGAAAAGGGCTGTAGCCTGGTTGTTGCGGTACAAGGCGTACCTTTCACTGAAAGTTCAGCTGAGTAAGAGAAGCACTTTAGTTTCAAGTGAATCCCAAGTCCAGAGCGGCGAAGTGCCATTCGTGAAATATGGCTACTTGAAGGTGGCAGAGCTTCAGGAGGCCGAGAAGGAAATCCTCAAGGAAGTACAGCAAGTGTCTTTCCCTCAGGTTATTGAGGTTCTCTCATCAGCAGGAAGTTCGGATGTAGACGGTTGTGTTAAAAAGGTCCTTCGAAAGGCAGGAACGACGTTGCATCAGCTCAACCCACGCTTAGAGGATGGTTTGCTGAGGGTTCGTGGCCGACTTGCAAGTGCCCCGGTTCCTTATGACAAGAAACACCCTATTATCCTTCCCTACAAGCATCATGTGACGGATCTGATTATCAAGCAGTATCATGAGAGTTTGGGTCACATGGGTCAAGAATGTGTGTTGTCTTCTTTAAGAGAAACATTCTGGGTGGTCAAAGGAAGGTCAGCAGTGCGACGAGTGTTAAGGAGATGTATAGACTGTCAGCGAAGAAACACACGCCCGGGAGAGCAGTTAATGGCAAATTTACCTGAAGAGAGGCTAACCCCTGACAAGCCACCATTCACATTTGTTGGTGTCGATTATTTCGGGCCGATTGAAGTAAAGCAGGGCAGATGGGCATGTGAAAAGGTATGGATGCCTATTTACGTGTTTGACAATGCGAGCGGCCCATATAGAAGTGGCCCATTCCTTGGACACTGACTCAATGATAAATGCACTCAGAAGATTCATCAGTATTCGTGGTTGTCCTGAGCAGATAAGAAGTGATCGAGGTACAAACTTTACTAGCGCAGAAAGGGAGTTAAAGGAAGCCATAGAGGGATGGAATCAGCAGAAGATCAACAGTTTTTGTGGACAGAAGACGATAGACTGGATTTTCAATCCACCAGCGGCGAGCCACATGGGCGGCATCTGGGAGCGGATGATACGTTCTGTGCGCCAGATCTTGCGAGCGATGTTGAACGATCAGGTAGTCTCCGATGAGGTCCTCTCAACCGTTTTGGCAGAGGTGACGAATATTCTCAATTCTAGACCCCTCTCAAGAAATAGCGACAGTCCTTTAGACGAGCAACTATTAACCCCTAATCATTTGTTGCATATGCGCCCGTGCCCAAGTGTACCTCCACGGGTCTTCGACAAGGACGACCTCACCTGCAGACGTGCTTGGAGGCAAGCGCAGTATCTTGCCAATTTGTTCTGGCGTCGGTGGACGAGAGAGTACCTGCCCACTCTGTTGGAAAGGAAGAAGTGGACTGAGCCAAAAAGGAATTTACAAATTGGTGACTTGGTGCTTGTAGCAGACGAAACCTTTTCCAGAGGGAAGTGGCCGCTTGGAAGAGTCGTGGAAGTTATTGCGAGCCGCGATGGGTGGGTGCGCGCAGCGAAGGTGAAGACAAGTGCAACAGTAGCGACATGTGTCAAACGATGGTACAGAAGAGAACCTGTGACCGCAGCCAGTACCACCATACTTACACGCCCAGTTACCA